ATTAATAAAATAATAAATTTTAATATAAAGAAACAATATCAATTTTTATAATAATTAATAAAATTATTAAATTATTTATTAATAATTATATTAAAAATTAAATTTTTGTCTTATATAATATTTTTAATTTTATTAATAAATATTTTTTTATTTTTATATTATTATAATTATAAATTTTAAAATAGTTAAAAAAATTTTAAAAAAATATAATTATTATTAAATATTTAAAAATAATAAAGTTTTTATTACTTTTTATATAGTAAATTATTTTTATTTTATATTTTATTTTTTCACTTTTTATATAATAAATTAATTTATTATTTACTTTTTATTTTATTTTTATTTTTATTTACTTTTTATTTTTTATTTTACTTTTTTTATTATTAACTTTATATATAACAAATTATTTTATTTTTGTATTCACAAAAAATATAAATAGAAATAGTATTTGAACTTTGATTTAACAAGTTTTAATTTAAAAAAATATAATATAATAATTAAAATTCTTTTATTCTTTAATTATTTTATAACTTTTATTTATAATTATATACTTCAAAACTTGTATACAAGTAATTTTAAATTGTATTAAATTTATTAAAATTATTAAGATTTTGGAATTTTAATTTAAACTAAATATTTTTATTTTAACTAATTATTTGAATTTTGATTTTTATTTTAATATTTTTATTAATAAAAAGATAAAAAAGTTTTTACAATTTTATTATTAATTATATTTTTCTTAAATTTAAAATACTTTATACTAATACAAAAAATAATAAATTTTCTTTTATTAGATTAAAACTATAAAATTCAGAAAAAATATATATTAAAATATAATTATAATATTTAATATTATTATAAGCTTGTTTACTAATTAGTAAATTAGATTATAAACTTGAATAAAATTAGAAAGAAATTAATAATTAAATAAAATATTGATAAAAAACAAAGAATATTTAAGTTTTAAATTCTTTATTAATTTTTATTTAAATTGTAATTATTTAAAAAAATAAAAGTTTAAAAATATTATGAAAAAGTAAAATTAAAAAAGAAAAATTAATATAAAAAATAATATAAAAATAGAATTATTTTAATTTCTAAATTATTATAAAAATTAAATACAAAATTAATTATAAATCTAAAAATTCTGAAAAATATATATAAAAATATAAAATATAATTTTTATTTTGTAATAAAATTAGAAAATATTTATCAATAAAATTAAAACTTTATATAAAATAAAAATTTTAATTTTTATTATATTTTATTAATAAAATTGCAAATATAATTTTTAATTTTGTTATTTATTATATATTAAAAAATTTACTTTAAAATATAAATAAATTGTTTTTATAATATTATTTATAAAAATAAAATTCTAAATAATTTAAAATAGTCAATCTAATACAGTTAGATTTTTATATACTTACACTTTTAGAATATAAAAAATATTATTATAAAAAATTATAATTATATGGAAATTAAATTTCTTATATTTTATAATAAGTTAAATACTGAAAAAATATGATTATATTAATTTTTTGATAATATAAAAGATAATTATATAGAGATTTTGTTATATAAGAATTTAAAAATACAATTTAAGTGCTTTTTAGATAGTTTGAATATATTTTTGTAATGTATTTAAATTATATTTCTGAAAATATTTTAAAATTATAATCTAAGTATTTTTATGATAATTCTATTATAATCACATTATAAAAAATTACTAATAATATAATATAAAAAGAATTAATTATATTTAATTTCAATCAATAATAATTAGAATAATATTAAATTGATGTAAACATATTTCAATTAAAATTTTATAATCAAGACAAAGAATTGATGTTTTTTAAAAAGCAATATGAATCATTTTTTTCATAACATTTTTAATAATAGAGCCAAGAGCTATATCAGCAAGAAATTTAACAAAATTTATCTTCACAGTAATTGTTATTTGTAAGTTGTTATCTATATTTCATCTAAATAGTGCTTTAAACATTGCTTAGAATTTGATTGCAATTAATCAGGTTTTGGCTTTTATTATCTACTATCATTATTGCACTCATTCCATTTTTTCTTTGGTGTGGTGGCATTATACTAATGCTTGGCTTTAATGCATCTAAATATTGTTATAGTTATTCTTTATGAAGAAGTGCTCAAACTATAATGATGCAAAATTGAAATAAAGAAAGATATGTATGACAAAACGTAAAGAATCGAAAGAGCAAAGAAACTATTGATGCGAAAGTTTATATAATAATAAAAATAATAGCCTTTTCAACCTGATTCAAAAATTATGGATAGAGTTTGCAATGTCAAATTCAAATTTTTAACAAGCTTGAATAGGACCTTTTTAAGACATTGCTCTCTAATAGGTTGAAGCTATTATATGATGTGTAATCACTTTTTAAATATTTTAATTCGCGCGGGACCGAAGATTACATAACGACTTAGGGTTTCACGTTCGTTTGATTATTTTTTAACAGAAAAGAAAATAATTAATCATTGATTCTGCTCAATGTATTTCAGTTAACAAATTTGTTTGAACGAGATAAATCGGCAAATATCGATATGGAATAATTTAAACTTTTATAAAACAGATATGTAAACAAATTTACTTTTGACCTAACCTCCGATTCGGTGGATTCGTGTGCTTGGAAATAACCAGTCGGTCATGAATTCTAAGTAGCGTATATTTTGTGAAATATTTGAGTCCTTTAAGAAATTTCTTGATAAGTAATTATTACTGTTGCTATTAATACTACTACTGCTGCTAATATACGACGATGCAAAGCAGTTTCTTTCTCTTTATTTGAACTGTTTATATGTCGATGCTGATCCTCAAGTTCTTCCTCCTCATCATCGTCTTTATGAATACGCAACCGCACGTAATCAATCCACTAAAAAAAAGAATTAATTATCTAATCAAATAAATAATTGAAGAAACAATCACATACCAATCCTCTTTTAATGTCTTCATGATTATAAAGTCTGTATTCAACTGAATGTGGAATCCGAACAGAATCGATTACTCGTTCTTCTGGAATTGTAATTTGATATGGTAAACAATATTCTACCCAATTACCACCTTCAGCAATAAGTTCAAATATTTTTGAATTCATTAAATGGGTTGTCTGTGTTTCGATTGGCTCCCCATGTTTTAGTTCTAATTTCTCATTAAACTAATAAAATATATACGCAGTTAGTTATTCGAACAAAAAGGCCGAAAAATTAATCTTTTACTTACTACTTCGAGAACTCTAGTCACAAACTGTAAATTTTGAAGTCTAAAATTTGGATTGACCTTAAAGCGCCAAATAACATCGTAAATTCCTGGTAGTACATTTGGTATATTACCCCAAACCTAATCAATCGTAAATATATTTTAGATTAGGTACGAAAATATTTCAAAAAACACGAATTATTGTTGGAAATTTACATCAAACCACCAAACATAATCCAAAAAAACAACTTTTCCATATTCACTTTTTAGAAAATTGCTCGTTAACGTTAATATTTAATATAGTACTTTACAAATTGACTAAAAAGAATTTCTCTGAAAACAGTTTACCTTTCATCACAATCTAACGTTTTCCAGTGATGAGTATTTACAATTCCATCTGCGGTATCTAACCAAAGAACTCCACGATCTTTCGCCACAAAACTAATTGGTCGAGCTATTTAATAAACGATCGGAAAACAATGTGTTAATTAGACTTTTATAAGCAGAAAAAATCAAATAATTATGGACAATTCTTCTTACATAATTTCATATACATCCTTCGCCAATTGAAGCTCTCGTCAAAATTTTCCTCATCCATCGACGACGAAGAATCTGATGCGTCCAGTTTAACACTAGCTTTGGCATTCGTCCTTAGTCGCTCTTTCTTCTCATTTATACTTTCTTCGCTGAATTGATTCGTGCACATTAAATACCACACGTAATCATCTTGGAAATGTAGATGTAGACTTTTGTTCACCTAGAGATTCTTTTATCGTAAATATTTTTTGTTCGACTTGATATAATAACAAAGACTGTAACAAAGACTTTACCAAAGCAACTGAAAAAATGTCTCGCACGTTTAAAAGACCAAGAATCTTTTGTATTATCTCATTAGGTAATTTTTTAAAAAGATCTTTTTCATTATTATTAGTACATGTACATGTTCCAATTTTTTCCACGAGTGTTTGGTTCTGCATTGCTGCGGTAAAAATTAATCTGTGTCAGGTCGTTTTTTATTTATCGATTTACATGAATACATGTACATATGTACGTACGTACGCACACAGTACATGTAATTTCTGTTAAATCGTTCTACATTTACAGTATACATGTATATAACGATACGATAATTATAATGATAACGATAACGATAACGATAACGATAATACCAAATCCAGAATCAACTATTATATCCGGTTTTATAAATCAGAATCACTATCGCTATAACCGGGGGTCGAGTTATATACTACATGTATGTAAATGATGGTCTAGAATTTATGTTCACATGATTGTGTTACTCGAACTACTTATCCAGAACACGTTTTTTAACTAGTACATTTTTCATTGGCTCCTGCGAAAGTTGATTGATAAAGGGTAAATGAAACTGTGTTTCTTTGAAAATGTTTTTTTGTATTGCTTGTGTAGAATTTACTTAAAAATTGGTTTATTATAGACTGTAATCATAACTGTGTAAATTATAAATATTATAAATTATAAATTATAAATTATAATTATAAATTATACATTATACATTATATTTACTTCAATAACGGAGTTAGCTTTAACATATTGGCTTCAGATACTTGTGGAAAACTTTGTAAGCATTTATTTGGCTGAAATTGTGCTACAAAAATGGATTGAATAGAATTGCATTGCAAATCGATCCAAGCTTTATTGAAATTTAATATACAATATGCGCTACGGAATCTAGGGGGTACTGGATTACCGTGACTTACTTGCATCTGTTCAAAGTTACGGTCCTGTTTCTAAACCAGTCCTTTTATGCGTTTATCTTCCAATCTGTTTGGATGACTGTTAGTATTCATGTATATATATTGCGTGTAATGCAATGTGCGTTATATAATAGTTAGGCTAACTCGATATATCACGCGAAATTTATACAGTGCATAAGTCAGTAGCCAAAGTCAGTAAACAGAATCAAAATCGTTATATAGTGTTAGGAAAAACACATGATAGTTAGGATCGAAGATTTTCACGTATACAAACCTGATAAATATGGCAAGACAATGGATTTATAAAAAGAAAAGATTTGCGAAGTATCATAAGAATCTTGAAGCCCATTGAAAAATTTACTTTATTTGAGTTATATTTATCGGATATGTATATATAATCTTAGGATTCACGTTAATGTCGAATTAACGTGTGTTTAACTTATTTATTAAAAGATTTACTCAATAAGGGGATCTACAATAATCGGGTAAGAATGTACAACAGCAGCTTAATACAATACAAAATAAGATAAGAGCAAGCAAGGTTTGGCATAGTTACCAATTGCTCCATAATGTCAAAATAGCATAAACCAAATTTTTTTAGACAATAACGGAAATATGAATGATAATATGTACAATATATACATTAAAATGGCATATTTTGCATAGACTCAGAATTAAAAGGAAAATCAAGTACATGTACATGTATGTTATAAAAATCTAGATAAAATGCATCTGAAGGATATGAAGGATATGAAGGATATGAAGAATATTGAGATAGGGCGTAATCTGAACTGAATGATGATTCAGGTTGTGAAGTTGGAGTGAAATAGTTTGTTGTAGAATTAAGTTCTTGTTCAAGTAAGTTTTTAGCTTTGCTCGCTAATTGCTGGCAAATTTCTTTGACTTCGCGGTTTTCACTTTTCCATAGCATGCCGGCCAACTTTACTTTTTCACGCATTCTCAAATCATAATAGCCACGATTTTTAAGCTCTTTATCGAGCGCTTTTCGATATATAAAGAATGCATTCATAGAACGTTTCGGAAGTTCCGTTCCTTTTCTTTTTGGCTTCAAGTCTTCTTCACCAAGTAGCAATTCAATATTGAGCTTAATATTTTTTGGCAGATTGTCATTAGTCAATTCTTGGTCTACCCACGTCAATGGTTTTGACGATTTTGGCATTATGATATCTGGAAGTGAGATGATAAAGTGTAATAGAAAAATGTGCGTTATGTATCGACTAGGTTGAAGAAGAATATGTTTATTTATACAGATTTTGTGATGAGCACTCACGTTTATCTTTATGACCGAAACGTACCTGTGCAATGTTCACACAAATAGTGTTCAGCCATATTTATTTTGATGGTATATATAGTATTTTAACTATCAAGACTTGTTTTTATTGTGCTACTGTTTTGCATTGTGCGAGCCATAGCATTTCTAATAATAAATAGCTTAGCCAACTTAGGAAATGTGAAATTGAAGAAAATTAAACATCTCTATTGTCATTTAGTGAATGGTCGAAAAAGTTTAATTTTTTCTTTAAATATCTGTATAAAACCGAGATGCTTTGTTTCATTATTTAGCGAATGTTTTTTGTTAAAACATTTTCTTTTGTCTAGAAAATCACAAAGTTAACACAAAAAATGGATTAGAATGTTTAACGTCAAGTATTTGAAATATGAAGAACCATCAAAAAGATGCCAAAAGTACACGAATAATGAAAATGCTTTGCATAAATATTCTCATGTCTATGTAGATTATAACAATGGATTAATAAGCCAAGTGATTATTTGGAATTGAGAAATGGAATCTTTTTAAAAACATGCTACATGTACTATCTATCACTAAATAGAATTGCAAAAAATGAATTTAATGACAAAAGTCATTTTGAAAAGTTAGATGTTATCTCGAGATCAGACTGTCACGTAATTACTTAAAATAAATTTGACAATAAAAATTTATATATACCATTTTTTATACGTTTTAAATAAAAACTATCACTTTATATAAGTGGCAACATAGTTCAAGGTTACTAGTTAAAGTTTGCTTTGTTTACATTATAGAATATTACACAACAATCGTGTTATGAGTGATTAACTCAAATATGATAGTGTTATTTCTATAAAAAAATATTTATAATGAACAAGGAGATTTCCGTATGCACGCTTTTGACAAAGATGAGTCTCGAGAGTTACAAACCCAAATAAAAACTGCAACTTGTTTTTTACGCTTTGAGGAACCACGATTTGTTTCCCTGTATACTATTAGCAAAAAGAATGGTTGCATTTTACATATTGTTCTTTGTGACTTCCAATTTTCCCCGTTGAATTCAAATTCTTTGACAAAAAAAGGAGAAAACTCAATGATATCATATCTATATTAAAAATTCGATTTTGATTTGATTGGTCTTAGGATGCTTTAAAAATTACAACATAATTACGACGTAGTATTATGCTGTCGTTATAAGTGAGACAACGCGCGATTACAGAAAACACGCGCACATCTCACGAGCAACATTTATGAATTTTTGTATACCCATTTGTGATTTTCGAAATGATCGTCGTCTATATGTACATGTAATTTGCCAATTTTCATTGTTTTTTACTAAGAGCCTCAGAATAGAAAATTTCATCACAGAAAACTTGGTATCAAAATTCTCATTATATCATTTCTTCATTTATCCCAAGTAAACGCACGAATCTTTTTGATAATATAATCACGAGCAATTTTACAAGAAAAGTTGCTTTATCATTTGCGTGTTAATGGGGAGACTTTTTATTGGTGTCTATAAAGAAGCTCAACTGAATGTACAGTGCATTTTTGTCTCGTGTTTCCTCATTTATTTCTTTTATTAAATAAACTTACTTCTATTTTTATTATATCAAGTGATTTTTGAAGATGATATATAAAAACCTTCTTATGTCTTCTCTGGCTGACTGCTATCCAATAAAGTAAACAAACAAGTATATAGTTTCTACATAACAATGCATTATTGTTACTACGTATAACTATAAAGAGAAATAATGCCGTATAGCACAATTTTTCATACCGAGACTTCAAATCAAGTTCTCGATGCTATACTGATAAAATTTATTTACTTTCAATATATGACTACGTAATCACCAATATCATTATTGTTTGTATTACGATAAATTTATAGTATTTCTTAACAATAAAAATTACTTATTTATAACAATATTGAGAACTAGTAAATACTTGCTCTATAGGCTGCATGCACTATACTAATATTCATATACTGAACGGAACGGATCTACGGTTGTAGAGTGGCTTTCTTTAGTCCCTAATACTGACTTACGATTGATATTTAGATAAGTATAGATACGGTCGATGTATTAGTATATTGATAGCTTTCCTTTCAAAATTATTACAAATTTATGATATTTAAAATAAATGGATTTTTAATAGTAAAATAAACAAAAAATCTAGAGTTTAATGTTGCAGCATTGTGAAACAACATCTGTTACGTGGTGATGTAGGTACAAAAGCAATTATTAAATCAAATGAAGTTGAGCTGGGTGTATTACTAGTAGCACTAGAAGTACGTATAGATGATCGTACTTGAGAAACAGCCTGATAAACTAATATGTATTATATAGCGATAGTAACGATTCGTCGAAGAAGCCGAGATCGTACATTGACATTGGATATACATGCTATTATTATCACGACAAAGATAAAAAGTGAAATTCTCATCTTGGATTAAAAAGGGCAAAAAACAAGTATCGTATAGCACTGACTCGAGTACTTCCCGTGTCCTGTACCCTCTTGTTGTGTGCATCTGGGTACAAGATTCAAAAGGATATTTGAAAAATTTGTTTAAATTTTTAAATATAATATTATAATATAAACACTTTCACAGTGAATAAAAATTGCATATTTATATTGTAAAATTATTTATTTATTGATTAGGCGTGTATCTATGTGAATGCTGTGTACCCTCCGGGTACACGACAACTTGTTGCACCCGAAAATTGTCATATAACCCATATAACCGGATACTGAAGTCAGTGCTAGATGGTAATACGTAGTTTCAATATTTTTGTTTGGAAATATAATTCGGTTTTTCAAATTAAAAAATATTTTGATTTCAGAATTGCTCTTGTTTATAAATTCTTATTCTTTAAAGATTGGAATTTTTTGTTCATTAATTTGGTTTAATAATAGTTTCATGCAAACTTTATGTACAGAATGTATAGTTAAATAACACATCGATATTTTCTCAACAAAAATATGTATTACAGTAAAATCTCTCGAAACGTTAATGGTGCACCCTCCTTAAATGCACTCTCCTGTTTGGTCCCAACTAGTATTTGAATCTATTCTTGACATGCGAATGCACGGTTTCGAGAGGGGTTGCATTTAAAGATTTTATCGTATCACTAAAATTCATCAATTGGGGAGGGGAGTCAGTAGAAAAGGAAGAAATTTATTAGAGTAATTTGTCCCTTTTGTACTGATCATGACTAGCTTAGTAAAGCTTAGAATATCATCACCATCTCGACATTTATTTTGCAATTAAATTATTGCTTTTTGAACTTTGACAGTCTAGTCTAATCTTTTATAAACTCTATGGATTTCATAAACAGTAATAATTATTTTAACAATGTCATCGACATCCTGTTTGACGATATTTTTGATCAAACACGTGAGCCATATTTCATAGTTAAATTTATCCGTTCTTTACTGTGTATCGAGATCACGAAACATCGATAAATTCCTTTAAGGTATTAGAAATTCTATTTGACGTGATATTTAAAGAGTGTAACATTAAAATTACTCGAGTTTTCTTTATTAATCAAATTGGTTTTAATTAATCATCATCATAGATGATACATTTCAATCATTGAAAATAATCTCCACACGCAAGAAACATTGTTTTTTGATAACTGATACACAGTGACGATCGTTAAACTGGAATGCATTAAGAAAGAATTGTCTATTGCAAAGAAATTTCCAAATATAAATTTCTTTATCTCGATTAACCGGATTTATTTGAAGAAATTATAATAACCTTAACCAAATATCCCGATCAACTTCCTTCTTTGTTGCTTTCGGTTTGACAAGAGTCACTGTGTACCGTAAAAATTATAATTGTTTGCCATTATCTATTACAAATTCTAGTTTAGGTAAGTGTTATTTTTGCAATCAAAAATAAGTAAATTATTAAATGGAAATAATCTTTAATTTTAATAGAGTGGAAATTAATGATATAATAGAATGTATAGAAGTTATGTCAAAAGTCACAAAATTACTTACATTAGCTCGCTTTAATTGATAGATAAATACTTATTTCCTCAAAAAATATATGAAAAGTGTAGAATCCCTATTTAAAAATTATTCACTTAAGAATTTAGGCTCTCTCGATGTAACGAATCCATTTTGTAACGAATTCATTCTGTAGTAAAATAATATCTGACCCATATCAACAAATTGTGTAAAAGATCTTGTTATAAGGAATCTCGCAATATAATAAATTCAGTCAGCCCACAGCATTCGTTACATTGAGAATGACTATCGCTATGTAATCGGTTATAACCTATTCAAGAATGATTGAGCATTTTGGTATGTCTATATTCTGAATTCATATTTTACCCTAATCCAACTATACCATGCTTAAATAGGTATCATTCTTGATAATCTGTATTACATTGTAATTACTGTATTTCTAAAAAAAAAAAAAGATTAACGTTAAGTGGTGAACAGCAATCGTACTAAAATTTTTGGTCTTTAACCATTCCGGAATCCTATAGCTAAATATATTTAATATCAAACAAACTTTCTCTGTTACAAGCTGAAAATATTCTTTTAAATGAAAAGTACTTTATTAGAGTCGACATTGTTTTTATTAATAAATCTGAACAGATTTAGCAATCTATAAATCAATTGCATGTACATGTAGTAACGGTCATATTATCCCCAGATTTACTAAGTTAATATTGCCGTTCATCACTTAAAGAAGTTGAGTGCTTGATTGTTTACACTAAATTTAGCATAATGATAAACCATAAAACTCACAATTGCTAAAACTAGAAAGCCATTCACATTCATTAAAAAAGTAAATTTTTATTTTTCCGATTGCTAGCAGTTATTTGTCTATTATAGAAATCTTGTTTTTGAATACATGTACAAAGGAAGGTATTGACGTTGAGGTTTGGTAT